TTCCTCATATTCCCGAACCTTTCTTTGCATGGTTCAAAAGTTTGCATTGTCTAATTGCTGATTTCCATTTGTGAATGAATCAGCGTAAAATAAAATTAAGTGCCAAATTAATCTACCCATCTAGTTTTAGGTATTAATTATCCTCTGAGCCATTTTCTCCCACATTTGTCACATGTCAAGACAATCACCCATACAGTGATGTAAAATCCAGTTTTGACTCTGGAGTTTAAGCCGAAGAAGTGGAGGAGATCCTTAATCTCTAAGATCCATAGTGCAAAAGGGGTCTGACTCCAGGCAAATTAAACACAGTTCTTACCTCTGAAAAGTACAGCACCACTGCTGGACCAAATAAGTTGCTGGAGCAGAAATTTGCTGCATTGTTTTGTGACTTGTTTCTCTAATGGCCCCAGTTAACGAATGAACAACAGTACCTTTCCTTTACACAAAACAGGATCACTCCAGAGTGAAAATGTGATACTGATGCAGGGCAGAGGCTGAGAAACTTTATGTGCTCTCCTTACAGAAATGTACCAAGGAATGCTTGCTGGTTCTTCTAAAAATCCCCAAGGCTTCCAGAATATAATTATAGGATCCTGCTTCTTTGGGGAAAGACAGAACCATGTACTTGGTGACTTGATCAAAGACATCATTTCTGGAAACTCTGAGGATGCAGAGCTGGGCACATGGATGAGGAGGTATATCTCCAGTAGGGCATGAAAGGCTTGGGGACAAAGTCGGCATAGAGCCCTTGACCCCTTCCTTTCTGATGTTCAACAGTATCAGAGTCTTTCTAGAAAGAATGAAATATCCTAGCACTGCTGAATGCAAATGCAACTCAATTTCCCCTAGAAGCACAGGGCCAGGAAAGGGACAGCCTGTACTACTGTCCCAGGTGGAAGCTGGCTCTCAATGGGACCCAGCTCCCTTTGGGACCCAGCTCTATGAGGACACACTGTCATGCTTTGGGAAACAAAGGCTGTACACATGAGTTTGCAGTAAGAACTGTTACTCTGCTGCCCAAGGACACAGAACCTCTGCTGCATGTGCAAAATGACCAAGATGGCCACAGCCGCCAAGCCACCAAGCAGACACTGGGCTCTTCTCAACAGGGACAGCTTATGGAAGCAACTAAAGCTACTAGGCACCTAGGTGGGATGTTCCATAGCCCTAGACTCCCTCTTTTTCGGCAGGGTTGTGGGGTCTGGAAGCAGCATGAGATTGGAACGTACCTCTGTGATTCTCAGATGGGAACAGGAGAGCATAAAGCCTACCTAGGGCACCTATGTGGTTCATTAGAAAAGACAGGAGAGAGAGCAATAAATTTATGGCATCCTGACTTAGTGCCCTGGTGGTGAGAGTTTGGGAGTAAAGAGGTAAGATATAAATTTAAATTATATATAAAAAACAGTTTGCATCTGGAACAAAGGGAGATGCTTCCTTTTGGCCAAACTCAGTTGTGACATCTTTCCAGGCAGTAAGAAAAGCAACCAGAAGAAAGCTAGCAGGGGAGATGCCGTGCTCCAGGAGGGGAATGTGAAGCTTTTAAATTTCATCACAGCCTTCTAATAACACCTCCGTGCTTGCTTTGCAATAGACAAGCTTGGAGGTCGGAACAGGGAAGGACCCCCCTTTCCCAACTACCCCAAGAGGAAAAGAACCTGGCGGCTTTCCTAAAAGGGAAAAAAGGAAAAGGAAAACAAAGTCAAAAGGAAAAGCTCTTGTTGCCTCTCATCCGTTTGAAGGCACAGGCAGAAAAGCACAGGTTTTGTGCAGAGCTACCACGGGACCCCGAGGAAGGAAACCTGAAGGCGATGAGTCGGAAAACATTTCATTCGGGGAAGTTTTAATGAGCTTGAGCAGCTCTTTGATAGGCGCTGATGTGAAGATGGAAACAGAGCATGTGAAAGTGTGAGCTTTCAAAGAACGTGGTGTTTAGGAAACAATTTTCCCCCTCCTGGCATCCATTCCTTTGGAGAATTCAAAGGAGGCCTAAGTCATCAGGGCAGGCAGCGCTGTACCGGGGCTGCAGGGACTGCAACCAGAAACCCTCGAACCCGACTCCAGCCAGGACCAGCTGCTGCCTGAGTAGTTGTACAACAGCCTCCCAGAGACAGATTGAGAAAGGATGGAATAAAAGGCATAAAATTAAAGACAAGACTAATAAAATCTGATGAAAGAGAAAACACTGCTAGCCAACCTAGCAGCTCAAATTACATTTACCACATTGGACAGGGAGGAGGTAATCATGAGTAATAAGTCCAGGCTCTAGAAAGAAATTATGGGCTAAATAACAACAGGTAACACCAGGGGAAGTCCCTGATTCACCTTCTCAGGAAAGACTCAAAGCCCATCAATCACACGGAGACAAATTTTACCTGGTAAAGGCCCCTGGGTTGCCCAGCTCTGGATTATCAAATAGCCTCTGAGCTCTAGAAGCGTGACAGGACTATAAAGACTGTCTCCACGTACAACCCAGTCCAGGGAGCCTTCAGCCCACTGCACACTGCACCCCGACCTTGGCATGAGTTACTATGTTAGGCAAGGGCTGCCCCGAGTCTGTTATATATTTCTGCCCCGCCCGCTACGTCTGTCCCTGCTACCCAGGGTGTCGCTGTTCTGGAACCTGTCCTTCTACCAGGTTAATCTGAGCCCCAGACACAGCCAAAGCATCCTTCTATCTACAGGTTCCTCTGACCATCACCCCAGAGCCCTCCAAGTTCCCAGAATCTTGGCTATTGTCATTACTGATTAGTAGGAAAGCAATCTGATCTACTGAACTCCAAGGACTCTCTCTGCAAAATAGACTGGGGAATGCAAATTAACCTCCAGGATGTGCTTTTGGCCTGTGTAGGAGGCTCACAGACCTTCTCTGGACCTTCTGAATAAAATACACCTGTGAGAAGAAAGGTCCCTCTCCCACCCACCAGCCTTTGCTTAACAAAGGCTTAGCTACTGTTCCATCTCAGCCCTATACAGCTTCCCTTCTCCAGGCAGGACCAAGAGCCCAGGTCACTTGGCTCGCCCCTCCCTTCCATCCTGCATTTTTGGGAGGAAGGGTCTGGCTTTAAACCAAGTACAGACCCTGAAAAAAATCAGTCTTGTTTGTGGAAGGGGGTTCCTTTCTGCTCCATGGGGGAAAGGGCCTAGGAATTTGGATTTGGGATCCAGCAGTCTTCCAAGAATTTCAGAATTCCCTGCTCCCTCTGATCCCTGCACCCTGGGCCAAGCTCCCACAGCTTCTGCCTGTCCTGTTTCTCAGCTGCATTTACCTTTAGCACGGGAGTTTGACCCCTTGGCTGGCTGGCTCACTGAGGCCCTGTGTGGTCCTCAGGACCTGTCTAGCACACCTATTCCTGCTCCTAGCCCACAGCCTGGTCCTCGGAAATGAGGGGGCCAGCCAGAGATTGAACGTGAGGAAGAATCTTTGGAGCAGTACACAGGAACACCTGACTGCTCCCGACACGCAAACCACTCCTGTGATGCCTGGTTATCTGAAGCTCTCCTCATACATCAGCTCACCTGCTTCCAATTAAAAAAAAAAAGGAGATGAGTATCATTCCTAGAAAATCTTCAAAGTGATTATATAGATAAGAGGGATTTTCACTTTTCCTTTGTTGCTATTAGAGTTTGTTAGTTCACTGAAAAGAAAGTTTACTGCTCTTATCTGTTTGTTTTTTCTTTGTAAGAGAGAATCTTGTTGTCTATGTCTTGAACTCTAAGTAACTACTTTGAAGACAATGATATACAGTGTATTAAATATTTTTAGTGTCTTATAAAATTTTGGTTTTTTATAAAATAAAAAAGTACTTTAAAAAGAGAGAAAGAACGGATGTCATTCTATCAGAATAAAACAAATGGATCACAAGCTCAGCTGACTATAATCCTCAACATACCACATTTGCCTGCTCTTGCTTCTTTTGAAATGAGAACTGTATAGGAAAATAATCACCTAGTTACATGCTCACCTACCCTGCTTCACACTAACTGCGTGAGGAGGATGCTGTCAGCGAAGGTATTCCCTGAAGGCTCCTGCATCCTACCCGGGGGACAATGTGCATGTGTCATCCAATATGATGCCTGTCTGAATCTCCCACCTGGGACCCTGTCTGCTCTTCTGCACAAGGCGCGTGTATAACCTTAGTGTACAAAGACTCAATTTGTGATCACCAAATCTACTTGTTTTGATTAGCAACTGAATTCAACCCTCAGTTCTGGGAGGACATATTTCAAATTCTCAACAGTGGTCATCGGAAGGCTGAGGGTGAGAGGGAAGAGAAAGAAGGAGGACTTTCTTTTCACCCTACCCAGTTCTATACTGCTTCCTCTTTTTAAGAACAGAGAGTATGTTTACAAACTCCTTCAAACATTAAAATAAATTAACAAATGACCAAAAAGGAAAAGAAAGTGCAGGTTTTTCAACAGCTCTCAGGCTCAGCAGGATTTGTGACACAGGCTGCAAGCCGGAAGAAGAGGTGAGTGGGAATTACCCACTCTTCACAGCCACAGACTGACCTAGAAGAGACCCAGGTGTCCTCAGAGCTGACCTCCCAGGCTGGACACAGCTCACTCCCTCTGGCTGGTCTCTTCCACTTTTCTGTCCCTAAGAACAAGAGTCTCCAGATCTGCACCTAGCTCCTCTCCTGACACACTTAACCCCTGGCATGCCCTCCAGACTGGGCATATGCCTGCAAACTTACCTCATCCAGGAGACACCCTCACCTCAGAGGTACTTAAGACACGCAGTGGTATTGTCCCAATTCCAGCCCTCTAAAAGCAGTCTCCTGTTAAAAACGGGAAGTCCCCAGGGCGGAAGCCTGAACAGCTGAGAGAAGCCACGTTTTAGGTCTGATTCTGACCAATCCATTGATAGAAAGAGCCCTCGCCTCATTTTCTGCCCCGACAGCAACACAGAAAACCAGTTCCTGGTAGGTGCAATGTCCGCTAACCTCGCCGCCGCCACCACAGCCAACAACCCCTGCACCTCCGGCTGCAGCGCTTACCTGCAGATGTAATTGGTCTTGCAGGAGTCCTGCAAATTCAAGCAGTTAGGCTTCTCCCGCTCTTCATAGGAGCACACAGGCACGATGGTCTGTCGCCGCCGCTCTGTGCAGGCAATATCCCGGCAGGAGCAGAAGAGCATTCCGTAGCTGTGCTTGGCTGGGACCTTGTCGAAGAACTGGCGGAGGGCCTTGTGGCACTTGCGGCGGTTGCAGACATCGTTGGACATGCTGGTGGTGCATGGGGTGATGTATGCAGACCTGTACTTCTTGCAGGTGTCATCGAGGTTGCAGGCCTTGGCTGCATCCAGGCAGTTGTTCCCTTTGGGAATGTGCTCCACTGCAAAGCAGAGAAAGACAGGTATGATAACGGTGCTCAGCTCTGGATCTTCTCAGACCCAGTGTCTCTACTGGGATCTTGCCATTCACCTGGCTATGCAGGCAGCTCTAGAACCAGAGGAATTCTCAAGCTAATAATGACTTTAACAAGGAGAAGGTGTCTAGACTGCAAGCCCAGGGAGACCACAGCAGCACACAAGTCCCTATATTCCCAGCAATGTGTAAATAAGTGCAATGAAGTGAGGCCAGAGGAGCTCAGGCACCTGCACAGCTCCAGCACACAGGCAACAAGAAACTGTTTCCAGCTCCTGCTTGGTAAACTGAAATTAGGATCAAAGAAAACAGCAACAAATTACATACTTGTTCAGGATACAGTATATAAAATGATACGCCGAATGCAAGTATAATTGCCATGCAATCCTCCAGGAATATAATTATGTAATAAATGCATATAGTACATGCTAATTACTATATGATTATACAGTAATTACATGGTTATTTGAGCCCAGAAGACAAAATATTATGCCAGCCTCTCTAAACAGAAAGAAGCAACTATGAGGATGCTGTGTTTAAGTTTCAGCTCACAGCCCATTGGAAAAAAACCAGGGGAAAAAAAAAATCACATAAAAGTGTGTAAACCTCAATTACCACTTAACTCACCAAATACAAATGTTGGCTCTACGACCACTGGAGTTTTTGATTAGGAAAATTTGCCTAGGATTTTGGATGGAATTTCAATCGCTCACAAACCATGGGCTTTAGCATCTTACAAAGCATATGCTGCCTTCTTGTGCCACCGGTGCTGGACAAGCAGTGCTGTCCACTGTCGGGCTGCCCCTGTGCTGTCTAGACAGAGCACAGGGAGCCAGGGTCCACTGAGTGCCTGGGCATCCCGGCCAGGGCCTCGTCTAGTGGGCAAACATACAAATGAGTGGATAAAGACAATTATGCTCCCCACCTAAAGGTGTTAGTACAAAGAGAAGGGAGTGATGAGAAAAGCTTCTAGAGCCAACTGACAAGGTGGCCCTGGAAGACGGACGGCAAGCGTACCGGTGAGGGCAGGGAGGCAGCAGGCAAGCACTGGGACACTGCGCAGCTGCAACTCCAAGAGAGTTCCTGTTCAGACCTCAGCTTCCCTGTAGATTCCATGGCTTCTTTTCCTTCTACTGATACAGTCCCAGTTGAAGAGGGCATTTGGGAAATTACAAAGGCTGACAGAGAACAAGCAGAGAATTGACAAGAGAGGGGAAGGTCCATCTGGACTGGGTGGGGATAAAAAGGCAGATTCACTGCACGTCTAAAGGGCATGTGGAATATTATTCTGCCTTGAAAAAGATGAAACTCCTACAATCCATGACAACATACATAAACCCTGAAGATACTAGGCTAAATGAAATAAGCCATTCATGGAAGCACAAATGCTGCATGATTGCACTTATAAGTGATTTTTCTTATAAGAGAAATCTCAAACACTCAAACTCATAGGGTCAGAGAGTAGAAGACACTCGGGTAGAGGGATGACGAGTTGCTTTTCCAAGAGAATAAAGTTGCAGCCATGTCAAATTGAACAAGCCCTAGTGTCCTGCTGTCCAACATCCTGTCTGTAGTGATCAATACTGTACTGTGGGTTTAAAGTTTTGTCAAGAGGGCAGATCACATGATGAATGCTACTAAAATTTCCTTTTTAAAAAATAGAAAACTGAAGGGCACACAAAGTCAGTCTTACATTTCAAAGAAAGCAGAACTCCCCGTTCTACAGAAGATGCCCCTTGCTTTAAGAAAATCCAAAAACTGAAACGACTTTGTGCCCTGGCACCACAAGCCGTGTTTCACTGCGCCCAAGGTTCAGCTCTGGGCCTGCCTGTGACACCTGAGTTCAACACAACGAACACACAAGGCAGCGAAGGAGAGGGCTCCACCTTGTTGGGTGGGGTGCACCGGCACAGCAGCTCTCTGGGTCCTGGGAGCACACCTGTCGCAGACGCTCCGTCATGCTTTCACCAAGCCTGCTTGTCTCTGCTGCACCCTCAGGTCCTCAGGACTCAAAGTGGGAAACTGCCATCACGCACCCTGACATGAATATCGGGTCTCCAAGCCTGGTGGGCCCTTCTAGTCACCTTCTCTTCTCTTCTAATGTTGGGGACTGTGCCCACAGACACTGATTGACAGTATATTCTTGAAGGCATGCTATTCTCTAGGTTTCTAAACTTTGTATTTTTACGGTATCCTAAAAGAAATTAATAAAACTACATATCATCTAGGTTAGGTCTTTAAGGCTGGATATGGCCATATACATGATTTTGTTAACTGCGTTTATATCTGCACTGGTATCCAATAAACAGCACTTTATAACCTCTAGCTAAAAGGAAAAGAACAGAGCACAGAGGTGGACTGACGCCTGTGTGATGCACATAAAACTGAAATGGAGAAAATGGCAGAAGAATGAAATCCTCACATGGCACCATGGAACTCAGGCCCGCCAAAGCCAAAGGGACCCATGCTGATGCTGAGGGCAGCGTTCAGATCCAATGCATCAATTTCATTTCAGCAAAACAATACCATCCCCTCTCCAAAATAATGTTATTAGCATGCATTACATGGTCTTCCAAGTTTTGTTTGTACTTAACTTCTGTGTCTTGCTTTTACAGTTATGTAAGTGCAAAGAATAAAAGCTTTTTATGTTTATAAATTTCGAATAACATAGTAAAACAAGTAATAAAAGTTAACACATGGCATCCACGAAATTTCGTTTTGTTTGGAAGTAATCCACATAATAATATGCAAGCTTTAAAAATTGGCCTTGGCTGGGTGTGCTGGTAGAGGACTATAACCCTAGCTACTCATGAGACAGAGGCAGGGGACAATAAGTTCTAGGTTAGTCTGGGCAATTTAGCAAGATCCTGGCTAAAATTAAAAAATATTAAAAGGACAGGGATGGGGATTTAGCTCAGCGGCACAGCACCTGCCTGGAAAGCACGATGTCGTGAATTCGATTCCCGGTACCAGAAAAAAAAACCAGAAACAAAACAAAACAAAAATATTAAAAGGACTTGGGATGTGGTTTAGTGGAAAAGCTCCTGGGGTTCAATTCCCAGTACCAGGGGAGAGAAAAATCGGCCTCGTGTATACATTTTTTGTTATAAATGTTTGCTAGGGTTAGGTTATATAATCTAGGTCTTAACTTTTTCTTCTTAATGGTATCAAAAAATAAAAGCAATATTTTAAAAGGAAAACTTTATGCAAAGTAGAAACAGGTTAAACTATGTACATCATCTAAACCAATTGCTCAAACTTAACTTCATGTAGCAGTGAGTGTGACTTTGCCTCATTTTCTACTGATTCTATTTTTATCAATATCCAAGTCCAACCATCTGCTTCCCATTATTTCAGTGTTTGTGACAAATTTCAGAATGTACAACCTGGCATATTCAGAGGGGCAAAAATGATTAATTCCTTTCCAATGCACAGGTCAATGTGTGATTCCCCCTTTTTTTGACCCTTATTCACACAAAATATTTCTATGAGCCTTTCAATTTGATATGTAAGACTAGCTTTATCCAAATGTAAGAACCTAACAAAAACAAAAAAGAAAATAATAGACTGATATTTCTTACAAAGATGAATGCAAAATTCTTGAGGTTTTAGTCAACTGTATTTACCAAAACACTATATTAAGGATAATGCATTATGGCTATGCTTATCCCAAGAATGCAAGACTGTTTTAATATTTAAAAATTGATGAAATTTACCACATTGACAGAATATAAGAGAAAAACTATAAGATTATTTCAGTAGACAAAGAAAAAAACACAAATTTCAACACTCATTCATTGTAAAATATATTCAGCAAATGCAAAACAGAAAAGAATCTCCTCAATCTAATAAAGAAGTTGTTGTAAAAAACCCATTGACTAAAAGGTTCATCTCATGCCAAAGTATTAACTCTCTCCCCATAAGGTTAGGAACAAAAACTGCCCATCCTTACCATTTACAGACAATACTGCACAGGAAATCCTAGCCTGTCCAATAAGACAATGGAAAGAAAGCAAGACAGAGATCGGAAAGGAAGACATTTCCACTAGGATGAATAAAAGAATCTGGTAAAGTCAAAGGAAACAAAGTTAATGTACAAAAATCAATTGTACTTTCTGAGTTTAGAAATTTCACTTAATGTTATTTTTAATTTAAAACTTGCATATATTTATGAGCTAAAATGTGATATTCTGATATATTCATATATATATATGTATATGTTTGACATTGTGGAATGACTAAACCAAGATAATTAACAAAATTAACATATTCATCACTTTTATATGTTAGCTGCAGAAAAATTAGGAAAGTTTAAAATGTAATTCTACCTAAAATAGAACCAAATAATAAAAAATAAAAACACTTAGGAATGAATTTAACAAAATATATGCAAGACTTCTACACTGAAAACCAAAAAAAAAAACTGCTGATAAAATTTAAAAATATCTAATAAATGGAAATATATACCATGTCCATGGATCAGAAAACTCAATATAATCAAGATGTAAAATATGTGCAAACCCTAATGTTTTGGAAGTAGATTCTAAAATTTATATGAAAATGCAAAGGATACAGAAACACCAAAGCAACTCGAACAAGAATAACAAAGTTGAAGGACTTCACACTGATTTCTAGATTTACTATAAAGCTACAGGTATCATGATAGCATGATAAAACAATAGAAGACAGAACTTAGAAATATATCCACATCAAATATGTATAATATAGTCTCAAAACTAAAAAGTTGGGGCTGGAGTTGCAGTTCAGTGTCAAAATACTCTTCTAACATGTAAAAGGTCCTGGGTTTAATTCCAAGTATTGAAAAAAAGCTAAGTATCTGAATATATATTTATACACATGCATGTATATATATATGTGTGTATGTGTGTGTATATATACACACACACACACACACACACATATATCCAATAAGCATAGTAAAATTTTTCAACGTGATTAATTATGGGT